CCCCCACAGATAAGATCAACTCGATTCACCCCAAAACCAAAACACTGCATGCTTTGCATAATAAGTGCGAAGTGTCAATTACCGGGATCCTTCGTGGTTAACCTCTACAATTTCGCCGATAAAAAATCTGTCCCTAGCAAAGACGAACACATCATCGCATAAATCGCCGAGTCCTCCTCGACGGGTCAGTGTGGCGAGGTACAACACCGGAACTTGCAGGTAACCAGGGAATGTGGATAGGTGCCGGCGAGCCTTCTCCTCGGACTCGACGGCTTCCTCGTAGGTCAATCCGGACCGTCCTGTCATGGAGCAGCTCCATACCAAGCTGCTACAGATGATAGTTCGCTCAAAGAAGGCACTGGGAACGAAAAATGAAACGATCAGGAGAGGTCAGGGGAATTTGTAAAATAAAAATGGCGCAATTTTTCAATACTGGGCACACATTGGTCGAACATCACCAGAATGAATGAACTTGTATAATTTTACTACTAAACATCTTCCACTTACTCATAGTCTCGGAACACTTCGTTGGTGAGTCTGCAAACGAAAACTTCCTCATCGGCTCGAAGATCGGGCGGAGGTTTTAAGGGGACGAACGACTTCCGGTGTAGCAGAGGCATCCTTTACTACACTCCAAATTTTAGGAGGGAAACAATGAAAGAAATTTACTCGACTTGTGAAAGGTCTAGTTGTAGACAGAAGAGCTGATTTCACCCCAGAACAGGTATCACATGGTAGTGGGAAAGTTAAGTCCACCGATGACCAGGTTCTAACACCAAAAAATGCGGAATTTCCCCGCGAAATTTCAAGACAAACTAGAGTGACGTTTCAGTTCTCACAAAAGAGATCGAAAACTGTGCGTGTTGGTGATTATATGCGCAGCGGAATGGCCGTGACACGGAGCGGCGAACACAAGACATAGGGGTAAATAAAACGACTCTAGTTTTTTTGCCAGGCAACGCTTAATTACCAAACTTCGGGGACATTTGTGGGAAATGTCTGTCTTCAAGTTGCCAGAGTTTAAAGAAAATACGTTTTGTAGTTTTGATGACCGAAGGTGAAAATTGAGCAATTTTTGCCGAGGTTGCAAGATCCGAGAGTGTGGAGGCGGAGCAACCGGTGAAATACGACACTCTGATTGGCTGATTTGGCGGTTTGATTGACTGCTAGGGAACATGACCTCAGCAAGTCGCAGAGAAACTTAGCAGTGTACACAAACATAACCAGACTCTTACGTTAACGACGCTAGTTTCATGAAAATTAAATTACGTTATGCATATAACAAGATTGATGATCAATAATCAACATGTTGTATATGACCTGAAAACATTAGTTCACATTTTAGAGAGAAAGCAAAGCTATCTATGATCATTCTTGAAAGTGGGACGTATACAAATCTTTCTGCACGAAAGTAATTTTCCTCAATATTTCATTTTATACTAATTTCACAAAATATGCCACTTGGATTTTTTTCATAATATGAAAACACTGCTCAAAAGTATAAAAAAATGTATTATTTGAAGAAAGTTAAATCAAAATTTTGCGTTTCCCCCAAACATCTTTGAGTATTTAAAATATCAAGTATTGCTTATTTTAGGGCATTTTATCATAATATGTTAATATTTTTATCAGTGGCATTTGTTATACATAAAATAGAGATATATAATTGTTTACAAGATTCTTGTTAAATTTTCTTCTCAACATTTTTATGTATTTTTCCATAATAGTTCCTTTTTAACCAAATAGATCTAATTTTTTTTAAAGATTTCTTTTTTTTATAAATATTTTGTGAAAGATGATAAAATAATGACTTTGGCATTCAAAATAATGTCAAAAATTATGAAAAAATATTATTATAGTAGCTATGGAAACTACTGTTCAAATATAAATTTGAAAGTATTATTTAACAATTCTTCCTCAAAATTACAATAACAACACAGAGACAATGAACAAAAAGTCTACTGTAAAATGACTAATTTTCACTGGGTTTAAATTTTACTGATTTACCATTTCAGGCATATTCAGTGGGTTTTAAATTCACGGTTTCGTCATTTAGATAATGTGTTTTATGCTAAATTTTACATATTCACTGTGTTTTAATTTAGCGCATTTTTCCAGTCAGCGAAATAAGCTAAATTAAAACCCAGTGAATAATTACCCCTTTTACAGTATATAGTAAGGATATCATTCAAAATAAAATATAGTTCATTCAAAATGCACTTTGGAACTCCAGCCCCTTGAGCTCAGCACAATTCACTAGAAATACAAAATAAAATTATAGACTGAAAATGCAGAAGTAATTTACTTTAAAACATGATAGTAAATTTTCTTTGATTGTTTGCTTTCTAGTTTTTTTCCCTGTAACTTCCAGTGTAAAATGTGGTCTCCTTCAATAAATTTAAACGTAATGATAACAAATATTTGTAGATTTGTTTGTCCGTTTCTGTATGTATAAATAAATGCTACAAAATCGTTATTTATGTTAGTTAATGAAGGTGTTAATCATTAATAAAGGCTTAAAAATTGTTGAATTTACTTTTGAACCATTTATTGTTGAAATGGAAGAAAAAAAAGATGATTATTGCAAAAATAATATTTTTTCTGTAATTTTCGCCAATTATAAGAGCAGACAGAACTATTATGTGGAAGGTGACAAAAGTTGACGACGGTGGTGAGTGGATTAATGATATGCAAACTATCTAATTGATATGAAGAACATATAACTATATAGTATAAATACTATAACGGGGTGGACATTAACGAAGGAGGTGCTGCATTTATTGAGTACATTTCACATCCTGATGTAGCATAATTGATTTTCTATCCTGGTAGTACAAAACTATCTGAATATGTCACAATCACAATTTTTGGTAATGTTTTGATAGATTGATGTGTATAAATACAAACACCCAACATAACAAATAAACAAATACCTAATAATTATGCAAAAACAAAACAATGAGTAACTATTTTGTAGAAGTGACAACAGTTGACAACAGAAGTGAAAGTGTTGATATATAAATTATGCACAGTTTGTGGAAGTTGTGGAAGTTGACAATGGTTTTGAAAGTGCTGATGATATGCAAACTATGAAGTAATCATGCACAGACAACATGACTACTTGAAAGGGTTAATGATATGTAAATTGTGTAATTAATATGCATAGATGAAACATATAACATCTTTTTGTGACCAAATTTGTCAACACTGTGGTGTTGAAGGCGTTGATATATATATATGCAAATTTATCTAATTAATATGTGGAATACACAACTATTTTTAAAAAGGTGCCAATAAATGTTGATGATATGTAAATTATTAAATAAAATGCACATACAACATATGACTACTTGTGTAAAGTGGTGATATGCTAATTACATAATTGATATGCACAAAATAAAAAAAGTTTTAGTACTTGCTTGACAGATTTTGTATAATATGATATAAGTATGAAAATACTGATTTGCTGTATTATTTTATTTTATGTTAAAATATATTATGAAATATTTTAAATTATTTTGGAGAAGATGACAAAAATGGCAATGTTTGCGAAAGTGTTGATATGCAAATTACCTACTTTGCATGCATAACATATAACTACTTTAAGTAAGGTGACAGTGGTGATGACAATGTTGAGGGCATGGAAATTACCTAATTAATAATCACAGACAGAACATACAGCTACTTTTTGGGGTGACATAGGTTGACAATGGCAGTGAAAATTATATATGATTATAGTTGTGACGTTATAAATAACCAATTGAATCAGCATGTACATTACCAACTGAATTAGTATGTATATTATTAACTGGATTAGCATGTACATTAACAACTTAACTAGCATGTACATTATCAAATCAGTTAGCATGTACATTATCAATTGAATTAGCATGTTCATTATCCACTGAACTAGCGTTTTCATTATCAACTAAAATGGCATGCACATTATCTACTGAATTAGCATTTATATTATCAACTGAATTAGCAAGTACATTACCAACTGAAATAGCATATACATTATCAAATGGAACTAGCATGTACATTATCAACTGAACTAGCATGTACTTTATCAACTGAATTAGCATTTATATTATCAATCGAATTAGCATGTAAATTATCTACTGAATTAGCATGTACATTATAAACTGAATTAGCATTTATATTATCAAATGAATTAGCATGCACGTTATCTACTGAATTAACGTGCATTAACAATTTACCTAGCATTTACATTATCAACTGAATTAGCATGTACATTATCCTCTGAATTAGCATGTACATTACTCACTGAATTAGCATGTAAATTATCTACTGAACTAGCATATACATTACAAACTGAATTAGCATTTATATTATCAATCGAATTAACATGTACATTATCAAATAAATTAGCATGTAAATTATCAACTAAACTAGCATGTACATCAACAACTGAACTAGCATGTACATTATCAAATGAATTAGCATTTATATTATCAACTGAATTAGCATGTACATTAACAATTAAATTAGCATGTACATTATCAACTGAATTAGCATTTACATTATCAACTGAATTAGCATGTACATTATCAAATAAATTAGCATGTACATTTTCAAATGAATTAGCATGCACATTATCAACTGAATTAACAGAATTGGCAATTGAATTAAGATGTACATTATCAAATGAACTAGCATTTGCATTGTCAACTGAAGTAGCATGTACATTATCAACTGAATTAGCATGTACATTATCAACTGTATTAGCATGTACATTATCAAATGAATTACTAGTAGCATGCATATTATTAACTGAGTTAGCATTTACATTATCAACTGAATTAGCATTTACATTATCAACTGAATTAGCATGTACCTCAACAATTCAATTAGCCATTACATGATCAACTGAACTAGCATGTAAATTGATAATTGAAAAGGAATGTACATTATCAACTGAATTAGCATTTATAATATCAAATAAATTAGCATGTACATTATCAAATGAATTAGCATGCACATTATCTACTGAATTAACGTGCATTAACAATTGAACTAGCATTTACATTATCAACTGAATTAGCATGCACATTATCAACTGAATTAACGTGCATTGACAATTGAATTAAGATGTACATTATCAACTGAACTAGAATTTGCATTATCAAATGAAGTAGAATGTACACTATCAACTGTATTAGCATGTACATTATCAACTGAATTAGCATTTACATTATCAACTGAATTAGCATTTACATTATCAACTGAATTAGCATGTACATTATCAACTGAACTAGCATGCACATTATCAACTGAACTAGCATGTACATTATCCACTGTATTAGCATGTACATTATCAAATGAATTACTAGTAGCATACATAATATTAACTGAATTAGCATTTACATTATCAACTGAACTAGCATGTACATTATCCACTGAACTAGCATGCACATTATCAACTGAACTAGCATGTACATTATCCACTGTATTAGCATGTACATTATCAAATGAATTACTAGTAGCATGCATATTATTAACTGAATTAGCATTTACATTATCAACTGAATTAGCATTTAAATTATCAACTGAATTAGCATGTACCTCAACAATTCAATTAGCCGTTACAT